TAGCTAGATATAGATAGTGTAGGCAAGCTAGCATTAAACTTGCTGCTATTGCATGTAAGAGATGTTGTTTCTTTCACAATGTATACTTTTAAATATACAAATTAAATAAAGAAATGATGTTTACCTACCGGAAAAAAAAAAAAAAAAAAAACTTTATTATTATTATTATTAGAATTACAAAATTATTTTATTAAAGTTTTATTTAAATTAAATAAATATTTGAATAATTATTTTTGAAGGCATCAAAAATGCTAGATATGATTTTTTCAGACCCAACTTTTAAACAATACATATATAGTATAAATTTCAGGATTCCATCAGAAAATTTCCGGTCCGCCTTCAAAAATAATTACCCATTTATTGAATTATAATAAAAAATATTAGTTCAAAAACTTTTGTACCATACTGTATATTAGTAATTATTTTAAAAAATCAAAATCAAAATTAATTAATAATATTTTTTGAAATGTTTTAAAATAAATAATCAAAGTTTATATATCCATATTTACTTCAGATTATTTTGATATAAAAAAATTTTCAAAAAATTCTTGATGAATAATTATAAAAAAAAAAAGAATTTATATTTAATTTATATAATAACAATTAAATTGAATTTTTTTCATTTGAACAAATTTAAAAATTGATTTTATAGTAGAGAATATAAAACACTTTCAAGACACTTTTGCATATTCGATATTTTATCGATGTGTTGTGTAAACTTGATTTTAAACCAATCATGCTTTAACGTTAACCATAATTGTCGTGTTTTATAAATTTTATAACGCATGTTTTTTATTCGTAATCGATTGCTTACTATATTTGGAACTTAATACGTAAATTTTGTTTCACCACTAATTTAAAAAGGTATTAGGTCATCCAAAATGCTTTTCACTTTTTTTACAAACTACGTAGAATCACAAATTTTCAAATTCCTAAATGAATTCTGATCATGAAAATAAGCGACAAATTCCTAAACTGAAGTTGGAATTACCTGTCTCGCGTCTGAATCGGAGTCGTAGCAACGACTTCGATACAACGTTATGTGGCTTTAGAAAGCGGCATTCGAAAAGTTATTCACAAGATTCCATAACTTTCGGTGTTAATGGTAACAAACAAAATGGGATTCTTGATGAACAAAGTAGCGATTTATATTTTCAGAGACTATGTACACTCCCGCCTTCAGAGCATCTTCCAATGAGGGATATATCACTTAGAGAAGCTGGTCGAAATATTTTATATGCATTTTCCCAAGTGCATAAAGCTTTGAGGCAATTTATAAGATTCACTGGAAACGAAAGAATCTTCGCACTCGAACTTAACAAGGCAGGAACCTTAATAACACAGTTGAGCGCGGCATTACAAAGATTCGATACATTGGCTTTACAAACAGCACCGGATGCGTTTCATTGGGCCAGGTTGCTTGTAGCAATTCAAGAGAATCTATCATGTTTTAAAAGTCTCATGGAATCATTAAGTAAACGCCTAAAGTCTCTGACCCAATCTTATGACAATATTCGATATTCTCGCACCCTTCTTTTAACCTTTCACGGAACTGTGGCTGATATCAAATTCGCGTGGGAACATATATTTCCATTACTTAATGATTACACTCCATATACGGGATTTTCATCACGCGCAAGATCAAGTTCGCGATCCAATGGTGGTAGTAGTAATACACCTCCCTATTCTGCAGGGTCCCCTAATGGTTCCTATTTTAACGGGGCCATCTCACCATCCACTGCTGGATTATCGCCATATTCAGCTGGACCCTACTCTTCGTCTACTTTTAACAACGAAGCATTGTTTCCTGTTACTATGATCGAACGGCTTTCGCCATTATCAGAGAGTTCTGTTAAGGCAGTAGAAAGCGTTTTAAAATATTTGGATGAACAGATAGGAAATGAACTTGCTTCACCTATTGATGAAGATGCATCGCTACCGTTATCTCCTGTAAGGAGCAAGTTGAAAGAAATGAAATTACACATGAAGTGTGTATCTGAGGTAACTGAGCGGTTAAAGAAAACACTGATGGTTTTCAAATTTTCCGCAGCACAAAAGGAAAACTTTAGTGCTCAACTTAAATTATACAAGGACACTATCTCGTTCCTCCAGGTATATTTCGCTCATAATATCATGTTTATTTTATTTTATCATATAACTGACGTTCTAATGAGGTATTAAAATAATCATAGATAACGGTAAAGATGTCAACCATGGCTAAAGATATTTCGCAAGAGTGGAAATTGGATAGCAAAATTATGTTAGGGTTGGGACAAGTGACAAAGTCTAATATAAAACTAGCCAACTTTTTACGTTCAGTGGAAGAAGTGCCATCAGCAACGAACTATGGAAATTTTCCAAACCAGCTTTCACCGAATTTAGTAACGACTCCCAAAAGAAATGTTAAAATTGAACGCGAGGAAGATGATGTTACAGGAGACAGAGAATATAAATTAGAAAACAATTGTAAATTAGATAGTCACTCTATATTTAGCAATAAAGATGATGAAAAGAACAATATAATGGATAACGGAAAGCATGACGGAAAACGGACTATTTTATATGACGAACCTGAAGATATGGTTATTGCCAACGGGCCTTCATTGAAAGTTGAAAATGTTATTGATGGGAATAATAGAAATGTCGATAATGTTCGCTTATGTTGAACTTAGCATTTTATTTGTATTATACATTTTTTTTTAGCATATTTATTGCATTTGTAAATCCTATAGAACAATTTATTT